AAGCCGTCGTAGTTTGAAACCCAAATAGACGGCAGTCGATTTCACGACCGGGCGAAAACCTTTTACACGACGGTGGTTTCCCGTCGTCTATTTCGATTTTTGTAGTAGTGCTCACTCCCCTTCCTAACCCTTTCTAACTTCGGTATAAAAAATAAAAATAAAAATAAAACTTCTTTATGTTTTTTTACTGAACCAGAAAATAACTTCGTAAAAATAATTGAAAAAGCATGGAGACTTGATGGAACAATTAAACTTAGCTGATTCCATGTGTTCAGTAATTGAAATTTCAGAAGAAAAATACCTTTGTTCTTGGCCAGAATTGCAGCATGCAATGGGGACTTCCCTTCCACCGCCAAGTTCCTAGGCGACCGGTACCGTTGACTTATACACTTCACAATTCGAACATCCCCTGCTCGAATGGCCAGATACAAAGGTGATTTGCCTTCCTTATTTGCAGAAAATGAAACCGGACGGTCATGATCTGGATCGGCCACGATCAAATATGTTGCCACTTCTTTGCGGCCATTAATCAGTGCTTCATGCAAAGCCATGTTTTCCTCATCATTTTTCATCCTCAGCAACCGCATGCGGTCGTTTTCAATATCTGTGGCATTGCTTTCACCTGAACCTGGATTCCTTGATGACATATCATTTTCAATATCCGTTGCTTCTCCTTCACCTGAGCAGAGATATTTTACCATATCTAGATTCCCATCTCTGGCCGCAAGATGGAGCGCAGTGTCTCCTTGAAAGTTTTTCTTGAACAAAAGGGGCTTGTGAAGTTTTACGATCTCAGTTGCTAGAATTTCATGGCCGAAGCTCACAGCTATGTGAAGAAATGTGTTTTTCAAGGGGCTTAGTTCGCAGAGTAGCTGGATGTCAACATTTGCATCATTTGTACTCTCACGCTTGCCCACAGTCACTAGAAATTGATCTAGCCTCCCCTCAGATGCACACTTGTACAGCTTCTGGTACGGGTCTGCTATTTCGTCAAGGTTCTGGAGTTTATGTGCTTCTTTCTTCAATACTCCTGTCCACAGGCTAGCAAATCCGTCCGCCAACAGTATCCATAAGTGTTCGTGATCCAAGAGGAGCGGCGACCCCAAACCCCAGTAGATTTTGCGAACAGCATTACGTACAAGAGTCAGCGCCAATTCGAGGGCGCTTTCGAGAGTCAGCCCCTCCGCCATGAATGCCTTCCTAAATATAATTCTTACCTGACGAGTGAGGGCGACACTCCTTAAGTATATAGCTAGAGAACCCTTCAACCTTTGCACGGGGAGGGAGAGGGAGAGACAGAGAGAGTCTCTAACTACTAGGGGCGTTTTCGGGTGCGGTAACCGTCGGTATGTTCACGCTTCTTTCTCTGATTTGTGTTC